AACATATTCAATTTATTACTTTATGTAAAATATCAATATTTTATTATGCTCAAAAACGTTAAAATCAACTAACAATAACATTCATATCAACTATGCCAACCCTTTCAATTTGCATTATGTATTTCAATTAATCCCAATACTTTACATTTACATTCAACAGGACATTAATGTTTATATTTTTCTTAAGTTAACTATACTTTATACTTTCTTCTAGTATTTTCTATTTTTTGAGCAATTCTTACAGTTCTTTCATTTATATACTACTACTACTACTACTAGTACTACCACCACTACTACTACTACCACCACTACTACTACTTCTAGAACTTCTATGAATACTATTATCATTATCGCTACCACCACTAGTACTACCACTACCACCACTGTTACCGTTAATCTTACTACTATTACCTTAAAAACTAAGAATACCGTCTTCATGTAAACTCTTGTATCATTCTTAACTTAACTATACATGACTATAGTCATGAAATTATAAATTACGACTTCATTTTTAAATTATGTCCATCAGCTACAATGTCCTTTTTTACTGCTACTATTAAGACTGTTACTGCTACTACTAATACTAATACTACTACTACTACTCCTACTACTACTACTACTACTACTCCTACTACTACTACTACTATTACCACTACTACGACTACGACTACTACTACTACTACTACTACTACTAAACTTAGTATTACTATAACTAAAACAACAACTGCTACTATTATGAATATCGCAGTTTTTGCTAATTAATTACGTAACTCCAACAATCAATTTGTTCGTTCGTTGATTCAGTCAATCAATCAATCAATCAATCAATCAATCAATCAATCAATCAATCAATCAAATCAATCAATCAATCAATCAATCAATCAAACAAGCAAGCAATCAATCAATCAAATCAATCAATCGACCAATCAATCAATCAATCAATCAATCAATCGATCAATCATGCAACCAATCAATCAATCAATCAATCAATCAATCAATCAATCAATCAATCAATCAATCAATCAATCAATCATGCAACCAATCAATCAGTCAATCAATCAAGCAATCAATCAACCAAATCAATCAATCAAATCAATCAATCAATCAATCAATCAAATCAGTCAATTTTTCCGATCAATCAATCAATCAATCAATCAACCAATCAATCAGTCAATCAATCAGTCAGTTCAATTCATTCCTTCATTCCTTCCTTCCTTCCTTCCATTCATGAATTCGATCATTCATTTCATTCATTCATGGTCATTCATTCCATTTCATTTCATTTCATTTCATTTTCATTCACTCATTCATTCATTCATTCATTTCATTTCATTTCATTTCATTTCATTTCATTTCATTCATTCATTTCATTGTTTCATTCATTCATTCATTCATTCATTCATTCATTGATTGATTCATTCATTCATTCATTCATTCATTCATTCATTCATTCATCCAGCAATCCAATCATGAGCTGACACAAACCAAAACGAGGCATGAGATGAGGCCTTGCAAGGAGGGGCGGATGGCTGGGTGGAGCAACCTGGTCTTGCGGCCCTCCCGCCAACGCTGGCAACCCTCCGGTAGCGGCATTGGGCCGACTCCGATTGGAGGTCAACGCGATGGCACCCGTCGTCCTACTCCCGCCAACACTGGCGCTGGCAACCCTCTAGCGGCATTGGGCTGACTCCGGTTGGAGTTCAACACGACGGCACCCTTTGTCCTACTCCCGCCAACGCTGGCGCTGGCAACCCTCTGCTAGCGGCATTGGGCTGACTCCGGTTGGAGTTCAACACGACGGCGCCCTTCGTCCTGAGGCGGTGGGCTAAAAGAGCGATCACCCTCCCGCCAACGCTGGCAACCCTCCGCTAGCGCCATTGGGCCGACTCCGATTGGAGTTCAACGCGACGGCACCCGTCGTCCTACTCCCGCCAACACTGGCGCTGGCAACCCTCCAGCGGCATTGGGCTGACTCCGGTTGGAGTTCAACACGGCGGCACCCTTTGTTCTACTCCCACCAACGCTGGCGCTGGCAACCCTCTGCTAGCGGCATTGGGCTGACTCCGGTTGGAGTTCAACACGACGGCACTTCGTCCTGAGGCGGTGGGCTAAAAGAGCGATCACCCTCCCGCCAACGCTGGCAACCCTCCGCTAGCGGCGTTGGGCTGACTTCAACACAAACGGCACCCTTTTTCCTGAGGTGGCAAGCTAAGACAGCGATGTACCTTAGTCAGGCCCGCCGCTCGCGCCAGGATTGCCCAAGGCGAGCTGCAGAGCTGCCCTACTCGCTCTGGATTACTCGACACGGCAATTACCGGTTGACGTGATTTGCCAGCGGCTTCGGGTGCGACGAATAAAAATTAAGAACAAGAAGATGCGACGCAAGCAAGTACGCATGGATGGCTAGGATTAAGAGCAAAGGGGGGTGGGGAATCTTGAGCGACGTTGCGGCGTTGGCGCGCCATGTTTGGCTGTAAGTAGATTCTGTTTGATTGGCCTCCAGACTCGAGAAACAGCGCTGCTCATGTCTTCTTTTGGCGCGAGGGCTATGTATGTCTAGCCAAGAAGGTGAAACACGGCCATATGGGCTGCATGCTCATGCTCTTCCCCTGCACCATTCGGCGCAAAATGTTGGCCAAAAGACCTTGTAACAAGCCCCAGCCTTCCGAATGGTCCTGAATAGAAACCTAATGTTCATACCATGGTCAGTTGCGACAAAGTCTGTCGAGACTGTGGAAAGCCAAAGTGAACGCAATGTTGAAGGCGGAAGCCTGATATGTAAGCCCGGGAGCAACACAGAAATTGGCTGAAAGTTGGTGAGACCTAATGCTGCAAAAAGGTGCTTGGCAACCTGGCCTCATGGCCGCAGAGAAAAGAATAAATTGCGCTCAAAAGGCTTTTGGACGTGCGTTGATTCCAAGAAGAACTGCGTTGCCCGACACTGCGTGGTGAATCTGTTGATGATGTAGGAAAGAACACGAGAGTAATGGGCAGCGCAGGGAGTCGCAAGTGCTAGCTGCTGCAAGCTCCCCTACTGGTTTTCTCTGCCGCGGCCGGCCGTTTGTGGATTGTCGGCCTCACGCCTCCGCGCCGGAGTCCTTGGCGCCTCTCCAAAGAAAAGGGAGTGCGCTTGACCTTCCCTGTCAGCTTTCCCTGTCGTGAGCCCTGGCTTTCAGCTGTTCGGACTTTCTCTTGCTGGCTCTGCCGCTCACGATGAAGAGGTAAGTCTGCCTTGGGTGGAATGGTGCCTAAAGTCTTTTCAGGGCACCAGGCTCTCCACTGCTGCAAGGTCCACGCGGGCAGACTGGCCGCCCTTGCCAGTACCGTGGCTTGGCTGTGTTGAGAAGATGTGTGGTGGTACATAGCAGCATTGTGAGACAGAAGCTTTGCATGTTGAAGAATGAACAGCTTCAACTTCAAGGTCGCTTGATGAATTTGTTGCGTCTCGCGGAACCAGGCGTTGATTTCCCGATGCAATGCCTCATTGCTCGAAGTCCCCACGTGAAGCATAGAGTGATGCGATGACTTCATGCAATGCCGTGCCCGGGTGTTGTTCAGATACCACTCCAGGCGGTCAGCAGAAGCTGCGCCCCACAGCAGCTCCCGAACCTTCCGGTTCGGCCCTGGGGCGATCTTTGAGGCTTCGTCTGCGTGCGCCGCCGACAGAGCCGCCAAAGCTTGAATGAAGTGGAGCCTTTGCGCGAATGGCGTGGAGTAATCCATGTCCTTGAGAATACGCCGGGCAGTCTGAATTGGCATGGAGCTGTGTCTGATGTTGTCCCTGTAGACCTCCTCAGCAGCAGTCAGCTCAAAAGCAGAACTGCCATGATAGACCTCGCCCCAGGCATCAGCGCCTCGAGCAGGGTCTCGCTGGCTGAGCTTGCTCAGCACTGCCCGGAGCGCCCTGCTCCCAGCTGTTCGCTTCTTCCAAGTGGAATACTCCCACGCAAATGCCAAGTGGACAGGGTCCAAGCTCACCATTTGAAGGTTTGGACAAACTTCATGTAAGCGTTCTTTGAGGAAGTTGGACGGGTTGTCGCAAGCAACGAAGTTGATTTGGCTCAAGGCATCGGGGGGCAAGCTGGATAGAGCGGCCGCAACGGGCTCTGCAGCCTCTGTGTGCATCGCTTGGAGGAGGACGACTGCGTTGGTCCTGCCGCGCACAGATAGCACCTTAGCAAACAAACCGACAAACATACAAACGAGCAAGCAAACAGACAGACACGCGTGCAGAATCTAGCAGCGATGTTCAATGTAAGTGCGCTCATTAGTCTGCTCAGTTCAACCCAAGGCGCGTGTCTCTTTGCTGCTAAGCCATCGAAAGCTGCTTGCGTTCGCGTTGATCGCGGGGCCCTTGGGTGAGCTTGGCCGAGTACTGACAAGCAGCACCGCATCGTGGCGTCTATGGAGATCGCAGTGAACTCTTCGTGCAAAATTGCCTCTTGCATCAACGACTGCTGCCTGCCTTGAACATTCGGAGAAAGAAATACATCTTCAACCAGGGGCCACCAATCTTTGACGTGGGACGGGTAGAGGCTTGTTGTCTGACATCCTTGCAGAACGGCCGCCTGCAAGATGCGGGGAACCATTGCTTTGACCTCAGGATGCTGGCGCCCTATGCGCTTGATGGGCAAACGACAGACCCCTTAGTTTGAACTGGCTGGAGCTTGCAAACTACAACTTAAGCTTAGCTGAGAAGCCTTCGCGTCGCATATGAGCATCTCAGCCATAACCAAGCGTGCGAAGCTGTGTGTGTAATAGATGTTGCGGACTCGTCGCAAAGGCTCTGTATCGCTTGCAACGATGCTCGCCAAGCTGCGGAATTCGGGACCTGTAGCAGTGTATACAAGACGGATACGTGCATCAATGCTGTTTCGGGACGGTGGCAGCGGCGGGCAAACAGTCATTCGCAACAACTCAGCGCTTCTGCGCAAATAGTTTTGGCCATCTCTGCTTTGCATGCAATCCTCATCATGCAAGGCTAGCACGAGCTTCACCTGCTTAGTGCCACTTGGGCAATACTGCACTTTGGCAACATGGTGCTTCGCAAGGTGCTGCTCTACCCGTTGCTTCCTATCGCCAAAAGCTCGGAATGGGCACAAAGGGCACCTGTGTTTCCCACGCTCTTGCGGAAACCGTTCCGTCAAGGCAACCTCCACCTCTGCTTTCAATTTGCCCAGAATTGCAGGCCCTGGGCGGACGATGGAATCATCGGCCTTCGTTTCGCTAGCAAAGCAACCTTCGTCCGAGGAGCCCGCATCTGAGCCAGACGCCGACGCGCCTGTGGCTCCGGCACGAAGATCCAGCAATGTGTCCAATGCAGAGGCAAAGAATGGCTTGTGTGAGTCCTGCCATGGTTGTGCAGGATCAATGGCAAAACCGAGAACAGTTTGGCCATCAACAGCAGAAGCAAGGCAGCCCTGGAAAGCTGACACACCGATGGAGATCTGCAGGTCGCCGTCCCACACTTTGACGAACTCGTTGTTTACTTCAACAGAGGCAGCGACACAATGTGCACGCCCGTCATTGTCTGCATGAAGCAAGTACTGTCCAGGAACGCGGAAATCTGCATCTAACAGCGGCTGCATGTTCACACGCAGTCGCTGCGCCAGCTCGCGGTACGACCACGAGCCAGGCTGTTTCTCAAGATTGGACACAAAGTTGCGCAGTTCACTGGACTGACTGTCTGGTAAGAGATGCGACAGTGCGCAGGGAATGCAGTTGCCGTTCTGTTTCCAGACGGAGGGAAAGTCTACGAGGCGCTCGGTGTTGCGCGCAAGTTTCACAACCGCGTCGCAAAAGAAGTCGTGCTGCTTCTCCTTGATCTGCACGCAGAAGCCGGTCTTCTGTTTGATGTGTTCCTGTAACTCTTGAATGTGCTGTTGGACATCGCCAATGCTGTCTCTGCTAACCCGAAGGCCATCGAAGTGTAGCGACAGGTGCTGCGGCGGATTGGTCATCAGGCGCTCTACCCACGACTGCATAATGTAATCCTCGGCTGCAGTGAGCATGAAGAACATGGTTGACACATCTGGCTGCTTCTTGGAAGAGTCACGTCGACAGTGTTGATGAACATCAGGCAGCACACTGCACGCTAGCCACCTGCAGTAGTACGATGTCCGTTGCACATCTTTGAGGAAATCGTTGGTTGTCCACTTTGGGTCCAATCGCGCGCCATTGAAAGCTTCAATCAAAAGCTGCTTCCCTTCAGACAAACCCAAGCGCAGCTTTTCGGAGCAAACCTGTTCCCGGTGATTTGCCAAGCTCTCCAGTGTGTCAGTGACCACTTTTGGCACTTCCTGGCAAGGAGAAAGCTTTGCCACCAGCTGCTGCATGATCACGAAGCCCGCGTTGCAGATGTCGAGGTCAACGCAGCCCGGAAGCAAGTTAAGTAACAATCTGCGGGAGCACTTCTGCGCTGAATCATTGCAGGCTTGCTTCCTGGTGCGCAAGAGCTGCCCCAAGGTGTTCTTGTACGAGACAGACCGTCTCAACATCTCGGGCTCTTGTTGACGAGGGCTTGCCTCTGGCGCGTCCATTGCAAGCGCGGACGGTCCTGTTTCTGGCTGAAGCGACCGCTGACGCTTGAAAGCTGCTTCGCGCGCAAGGCTTGAACCTGGCCCACGCTTGGCCGGGCAAAGCTTGGTCAGCAAGCTCAAGAAGTCGTCTGCCTTTTCAATACTTTCCAATCTTTTGCTGATCATCTCGCGCTGTCGTGCTTCCAGAGCAGAAGCCGGGCCCTTTCTTGTGAACTTCTTGCACTGCTTGAAGAAGCTCACCATTGTTTTGAAGTTGCGAGCGGAGTTTTGGTCTCTTCCTGCAAGCTTTAGGGCGAGCAGCCACATAACGCTAAACAAGTCCATCGTTTTAAGCAAAGCAACATAACGGAACAAGAGAACTTAAACACCTGTAAAAGGCGGAGCCAAGCGGCTCGTCTCTAAAAGAGCACTGACGTTCCACATCTCCTGCAGCGAAGGTGGGCACCAAAGATCTTTCGCCCGGCAAACGTCTTGGAGTGTTGCGCTTGTTGGCACTGCCGGGAAAAGGCAACCCTTGTATTGCGAGCCAAGGGCGCCAGAATCCTGCAACATTTCCGTTTTCACCATGTCGTCCCACAGCGCTTCTCGGTTTGGAAGCGACTTGAAGGCTGGCATCTTCTTAAACTGGGGTAATGAAATGTGAAACGTCGCCTTGAGGAGGAGCTCATCCCTCAATCCGCGAAACACTTCACCGACTTCGACCCCTAGCCCTGGATTGACAGCGACCGGCGCCGACGTGGCAGGTTGGAGGCCGCAAGCTGCACGCATGACGGTCTCTGTCACACCCATGTCCTCAGCTAGCGCGTAATCTTCGATAATTTTCCTGCATGCCTCCCTGGAGTGCAAGGCCTCGAACGCGTGTTGCTGGCGCAGGGCAGCAGCAACTGCGGGACCACTGACAAGGAACTCGCGCAGCGACGGGTCTGCAAAGAAAATGCCTTGTTGCGCGTCCTCCGCCTCATGTCCTTCAGGCCTGTCTACGAATCTTGCTCGCGGTAACCAGACCAGGGACCGCCTCAAGATGGAGTTGAAGTTCTCCTCCGTGACGCCAACGAATTCAAACATCTGGTTGACCTCGAGCCGCTTCCACCCCACCAAGCAGAGCATACGAGTCACAGCACCATACGGCCTGCGCCCAGCGACTCCGTTGGCGGACAGCGTCTTTTTGTACAAATCCTCCCGGACCTTTTTGTGGCCTTGCGGTGCTTCTTGGCCGGTGAGAATACAGCAATGCGCAAACTGCTCAATTTGCTTGCGGAGCTCGTCTTCCTGGAACCAGATGTTAGGGTCGATAAAGGCATGGTTATGATACCTGGTTATGAGCGTACATGCCAGACAGGAGTAGACTGTACAAGGACTGCCCAACGCCTCCGGGGCCAACTCCAATGAAGCAACGGTCAATGTTCTCCCCTCTCTTGGCCAACGCCTGCGCAGCCTGGCAGCAGGCAAAAATGTGGTTGTTCTGCCAAAACGTTGTGCTGATGAACTTCTCCAGGCGGACTTTGGCAGTTTCCGCGACAGGGTCCAAAAGAGTGTGCGGCACTCGCACGAAAATGTCATTGTCAGGGCGCCTCTCCACAAATCTGAGGTGCTCCCTGGGGGAAAGATCATAGATGACGGAGCAGTCCGTGTAGCACACCCCAGGAGAGCGCTTCAGCGGAGTGTTGCACCACTCGATGATGTAAGAAAGCAGCTTTCTTTCCTCCAGAAGAGCTTGTTGCAATTGTAGCCCGATTTTGCTCAAAGCCTGGGCCAGGAGAATTGTCCACGCGGTGCTTGGCTGCTCGTCCTCGCTCTCTGCTTGTCCTGCGTCAGCCGTAGTTGTTGCCTTCTTGTTCTTCTTGGCTGTCTTGGAGTTTGCGTGCGACAGCAGCGCCGTGTCCTGGCAATCGTCGAAGAAAGCAGTGGCGGAGGCCTCTGTATTCACAAGGCTTGCGACAGCCTCAAGCACCTTTTGGTTGGTGCGCTCGGTCTGCGGGGGCATCTTGCGGAAAAGGCCTTCCAGAACAAGTAGAAAATACTTGATGCGGGCGAAAGTTGACTCAGGGGGAATTCCACAGTAAGGCTGGTAGCATCCCGATTCGTGGTATAGATAGCAGAAGCCATTGTGCACACGCATGTGTGTGTCTCCCTCGATGATCCACAGCAATAAAGCAAGCTCCCGAATGAAGATGTCCACCATTCTGATCTTGTACATGGCAAGCGCAGCGCAAACAACCCGCACCTGGAAGTCTGTCCAATGTGGGTACTTCGTTTGCGTGTCCTCGCGCAACTTGCGGCATCTCTCAAGGATTGAGCCGCCGTCCGTGACAAGGTTGGCGTGCGCCGCGGCGAGTGAAGTCGACAACGACTCGTCTAAAGCTGCGAACAATTCTGGAAAACTTGTTGTCGACTGGCATTGCTGAACTGCGCTGTCCGAAGCACCTCCAAGCGCGTCAGCGGACTCACGTAGACGCGTGCTTCTCCGGGCTAATTCGCACTCGACCAAGTCAGAAGGCTTCAGGATTGCGAAGACCTGAGCGTCGGGCAGTTCAACCACAACAGAGGCAAGTTCGTCCTCGACTTCCAACCAACAAAAAGAGCACCACCAGCAGCCCCGCTGCTCGGTCCATTGCCAGATTGTGGATATGCCTCTATATCGAAAAATGTAGACGCCATCCTTGGGCGCAAAGAAAGACATCTAGAGCAGTTAGTTGCACAATAATTTAAGTGTTTAACTGAAACATTGACCCCAAGGCTGAACACGACATGTTCTAAAACAGCACAGTCCTGCATCAGCTCTGCAGGTTCTACCTGGAGCAGCATCATGTCGTAATGCCATAAGTATGCGTTGACAGCTTCCCACTGGCCCGGCGACTCGCGCGTGTTTGGACTAGGGACGCCGCACTTCCGCAGAGCATCAAACAGACTTGCGCAATCCAGGCCGGAGTCGGAGCACAGCGCGTATTCCTGAAAGTTCCAAGTCACGCAGTCATGACGCGAAACGTGGCCCACCATCGCAAGCACTCCCCGGAAAAAGAAATACGGAACCCAAAAAAGAGGACATTTTCGCGAGCTTGCTATGTAAAGGAGCGCGTGGGGCACCACGTCAGGCGGAAGCCATTCCGTGCATTGCAACAAGTCCTTGGCGTTTGTAGTCTGGCGTGCCACAGTAAGCAAGAACCATACTGCGCAATTGTACGCGTTCATGAAAGCGGGCGCCAACGGCTGGCCATTTGCGTTGAAGGGTCGGTACTTGTGTTCACCGCTGTCCTGCGCAACCAAGAAGCCGTGGAGGTTCGACTCTTCCACGGCCGAGTCATCTTGCGGAAGTGACGCGCTGCTATCGCTGCTCGCCCCAGCCACATCTTGGCAGTTGTGGCGGAGCAAGCACATTGCGCACAAACACCATGATTGGCATCGAGCGCACCGGCCACCGTGTTGGCGACAAAACCACGCAGAACACGACGTGCAACACTGGCTCTCAGGCCATTCTAGCAGAGTGTGAGGTTCGCAAGCAGCACATTGAGGCCGAGAGGATGCCAACAATGGGCTGGCCGTGGGTCTAACCCGTGCGTGTTGCGCCCCCAAGTAAAAGAAAAACGCGTAGGAGTGTGCGCGCAGCCCACCCCCGCGCGGCAAGCGCAGCCACGGCGCACGAAGCCCGTCAATCACGATTCGGAACCAGCCAGCTTGCCATTGGATTTGCACATGGTGCTCGGCACTTTGGGCAGGCCGAGGCCCAGCGAGAAAAGAAGGCTGCAGAGGAAGCGTCTGCCCGGACATCAAGTATGCGAGCCGCATATCGTCCGCAAATGGGCGCGTGAGTGAGCACCAGATGGACTGCGCCCCAGGCACATGAGCTGGGCTCATTGCATTTGTGACACCAACAAGCAGCCGTCGCACATCGCCTTGAAAACGACAAGTCCAGTCAGCAAAGCCAAACATAGGCACTTCAGACCATAGAGCGCCGTGCGGGCTGCTGCGCTGCCCGAAGGAGCGACTGGGCCATCCAAACGTCAAACGCTCGTGGAGCTGGTGCAGCAAGTGAAGCTGACTGTAAGAGGTTTCCACGGCGCGCAAAGCTCCCCACGCCTGGAACAGCTGCAACATTGAGCCAGCACGATGATTGCGGGGGCCCTGCAAGCACCATAGATGAAGGATCTCATCCTGCCATGTAGATCTGCTGAAAGCGAGGGCTCCGAAGAGAGAAGCAGCGCCGAGCAAGAAAGACAGGTCAGACGGGTCAGAAACGTGCACAAGAATCAGCTTCAGCACCTCGCAAGGCAACTCCAAAAGCCGCCCGCCTGCTATATCACTGGTGCAGTTGACGCTGCCTTCGCTGGCAATCACTGGAACCGTCATTGCAAGCGAATGGTTCTTCTGCCTCTGCTTTTGCATGATCTCCTGAACATGCGAGCCCAGGTTCGGGACCTTGTCGACAAACGCCTCGGGCCAGTTGTCTGGGTGACAACTGACAATGTACATGGAAGCAACCTGCAAGCCGTAGTACGTCTAGAATGTATTTGTAAATGTTCAGCTGCAGGCGGTAATGGTTACCTGCGCAGTCATCCAACGTGTCAAGCGGGCTTTCCATTTTTCCGAAGCGGTTGGAAAATTTTGTGCGCAGCGCTTGCGTTCTTTTCCAATCGAAGAGAGCAAGCTTGCCATCAGCGCCAATGGCCACAAAATCAATGGTGCCGGCAAGTAGTTCCCGCTCAGCAAAAATGGGCCACTCTGTTCTGTAGGCCCGAAGATGCCCCAAGGTGCTCAGAAACTTTAGAAGCATTCGGAACTCCATAGATTGCAAAGGCACGATGCCCCGGTTCAAAAAGACTTCGAAGAGGAGGTGCATGTGTGTGCCTAACTTCGCTGCTTCTGAGGAGTTAGCTTGCCACATGCTTTTGATCTCCGCTTCGCTCAGAGTCAAGTGTGCCATGGCCAGCGTTTTCACACTGCTGGCCGGCATGGATTGGAGCTTTGCGCAAATGAGAGGTTCGTTGCGGGGCTTCTGGGACCATTCAGCGTGCAGCTCGCTTGACAAAGCTTTGAGGCACGCGAGCCCGGTTGTAGACATCTCTTTTTGCAGATATCCAGGCCTCGGCCAGTTGCGGCTGCTGCGCACCTTGTAAGCCATCTTGTCCGCCTCGAAAGGCTTCGCATAGGAATGCACAAGGCCTGTGACAGACCCATCCGTTTGCACGCCGCAAATATAATAAGTGTGTGAGGCCGCGTTAAACTTGAGGCAGCGATCACGATGGTGCGGATTCTTTTCCTCAAGCAGCCTAGGTGTAACTGTGAACTGCGACGGGTTCTGGAGCCAATCGTTTAGTAAAGGCATGACGATGTGTGTGGGCTGTTGGGCCAGCTCAGGCAGAAGAAGTCCTTGCTGGAGTTTGTCTTCCTGCTGGAGAAGCGCGAGCTTCTTGCTGTAAGTGCCAAAGCTGAGCGCGCTGTCGTCCGGAAGCGTTTCGGCCGCAGCGGCCATGGCGGGGCGCTTGTGCAGGCCCTGCTCGACCCTGCGGCGCTTTGGTGGCGCATCTTCAGGCTGCAAGCGGAACACGTTCCATCCGATTGCCCCCCGGAGCCGGAAGTAGGGGATTGGCGTTTCCAGCTCGCGCACATTTCCCAAGCCTAAGGCCCAAGTGACGGCATAAGGCATATGCTCTGCGATCATCTGATGGGAAGAAGAAAGAGCTTGAAACTCTTCCTCGCAGATCTTCTTGCACGTTGCGATGGCGGCGCTGCCGCGGACGCTGCCGTGCAAGCCAAGCCAGACAAACCCAAGCCGGGCAGGCCGTCCCCGCAGCTCCAGTGTCTTGGAGCCGTTGAGGACGCACTCCAGCCAGAAGGGCTGCAGCACCATGACGCGATCACCAACAGCTGGGCTAGGAGGAGAAAAGGCCGCTGCTTCTGCCAGTGTTGCTTCTGGCTCGTCGCAGCCGCCGAAGACTGTTCTGCAATCATCTTCAAGACAAGACCCGGCTGCGTTTTCGGCCACTTCACACACCTTGAACACGCGCGTGAACCGCGCAGCAGCCTGGAAAGACAAAGAAACCTGCTCGTGCACGCGATGGGAGGTGTGGAGAACGGCGCCTTCCCTATAGACACTGACGCCCTGGAAGTGGAAGTCACGATGCACCAGGTATTTACCAGGCGAAGCCATGAAGCTTGTCATGTCGCCGAGGACCGGGACAAGCTTCTTCCTTACTCACACAGCAAATAAAGAAACGCTAACTGGCGCAGAGGGTTAGTTGAGATTATTGCGACAAAGAATCTGGAATGGCGCGAGCATTGTGTTGCCATCTTGAAGAGCAAAGAAGGGGCCGTTTGATTCATACGGAACCTTGAAACCCAAAGCCCTCAAGCTGTCCACGAGGCATACATGCCTGTAAACCACGCTCTCCTTGCGTGCGAAACCCGGCGCGTTCGGGTTGAGCTTGCCTTGCTGCGAGCGCGTCCCAGGCACCCGTGCAAAAAGTGCTGCAACACAAGGTGCTTGCTGCCACGCCACGCTTTGGACGAGCGTCGACCGGGAAAAAACGGCATGCCTGTCGGCAGAGCTACAAACCAAACGCCGAACCGTTTGAGCTTGAGTTCTGCAACATTGGAAGCGTCTAAGGCTCGCCTGCCTCTCCAAGGGCTCCTTAGCATCATGCAGCATAAGGCAACGCGGGTGCAAGTCGCAAGCTTGCAGCTAAGACTCGGCCTTCTTTTGCTTCAGAGGATTCGTCGGAGCCACATGCCTGGCTGCCAGTCAATTTTGAGGCTGTTTAGCGACCGAGGTTTAAATGAAAAACGGCGTTGGACTCACAGACCACCGTAAGCCCCACTATGGCAGTATCATGCTAGAAACGACTTGCCTGCTAAGACTCGCGTTTCACATGGGGGCTGCGGCTGACGAGGCCCGAGGGTTAAGCTCAAGTTAAAGAAGATGGAGACTCACGTAAGTACGTGTCAGATGTCGTGGCCCGCGCCCGCCTCGCGCTGCCAGCCTTCCTCAACCTGAAGGGCGCAAGGCGGTGAATCAAACGTTGTCTGTTTCGCGTCCTCTAGATCATCAACCGCAGAAAAAACTGCGCTCTTGTTTTTGACATGTCTGACGCTTCTTTTACGCGCAGCGGGCTGTGGCGACTTGTCACCACGCGTCTACCAAGTCCCCGGGACGGAAATCAAAGTCAAAGTCGTCCTCGCTATCTAGGGGCCTGGGAGACGGTGGCGGTGAGAAGTCCGCCCTCAAGCGAATGCCAGATGCAAGTGACACATCGGTTTGCGTTGACGCGTCACATCTGCTTGAGCTCTTGAGAGGGCTGCGAAAGAGCCACCATGCCCACGTCAGCCAGATCAGCAGGCAAGTTGCCACAGATGCCCAAAGAACTTCCGACATGGCACGACTGGCTTAACGAATGTAGCTACAGAGCAAAGGGCTGCGGCAAAGAGCAGAGCAAAGGGTTGCAGCAAAAAGGCTTTTGTGGACAGACGGCTTTTGTTGGGAGAAGCATGTAGCAAGCCAATTTCAAGAACTTTGCATCTTGTTGCAAGCATGCAAGCACCTTCTAAGGAAGCACGCGCTCGCGCCTCGTCGGAGCCGTAGCCCGAAGTTGTTGAAAGACTATCATCCTGCGCCGTGGCAGACAGCACATTGAAGATCCTAACTAACACAAGCATATGACAGGTGTCATGGCCCCGTGGCAAGTGCGCCCGCCTCGCGCCGCAAGCTCTCCTCAACCTGAAGGGGGCAAGGCGGGGGCTCAAACGTTGTCTCAACCGAAGTGACTTGAAAACTGCACTCTTGTTTCTGACATGTCTGACGCTTCTTTTATGCGCAGCGGGCTGCGGCGACTTGTCACCACGCGTCTACCAAGTCCCCGGGACGGAAATCAAAGTCAAAGTCGTCCTCGCTATCTAGGGGCCTGGGAGACGGTGGCGGTGAGAAGTCCGCCCTCAAGCGAATACCAGATGCAAGTGACACATCGGTTTGCGTTGACGCGTCACATCTGCTTGAGCTCTTGAGAGGGCTGCGAAAGAGCCACCATGCCCACGTCAGCCAGATCAGCAGGCAAGTTGCCACAGATGCCCAAAGAACTTCCGACATGGCACGACTGGCGCCAAGGGCTGCGGCAAAGAGCAGAGCAAAGGGCTGCGGCAAAAAGGCTTTTGTGGACAGAAGGCTTTTGTTGGGAGGCGTGTGTAGCAAGCCAACTTGCAGAACTTTGTTTACATCTTGTTGCAAGCATGCAAACACCTCCTAGGGAAGCATACGCCCGCGCCTCGTCGGAGCCGTAGCCTGAAGCTGTTGAAAGATAGTCCTGCGCGGCGGCAGACAAAGCGCAAGGGTTAGGCAGCAGTTCAAGAAGATGCTCACAAGCTCACACAGGCATGTGATGGGTGTCGTGACAGGCTGAAGCTGGGTATGCGAGGCGTGTATGCGAGCCTCGTTGACGCTGGAAGAACCATCCTGCACATTAAAGGAATGTGTTGCTTACAAAAGAGTGACAGTTGGCAACACGCTCAGGCGCCTCACGGCGAACCTGCTCCTCCTGCGCGAGGAAACAACACGCGCACGGTGAGAGAGCAAGCGGGCCACGTCACAATCAGTCCTCAAGGAGGTCTGCCCATGCAGTCCTTCCACTCCACACACGCAAATGGTTCCGCGGGTATTCCGTCACCTGCAGACATGGGAAGCAGCAGAAGCAATCTTACAAAAGTCTTTCAAACGCATTGCTTGACTAGTCCTGGGCAAACTCTGTGGGGAAGTAGAGCGCCATGATAACGTCTTTTGCCTTGCAAACTTGCGAGCGCTGCTTGGAGACAGCTTGAGCGAGGAAAGAAGAGTGCCACACGTTGCCTGGGTGAGGTTGCTCCGAATGATTCTCGAACGCTTGGGCAGCGAAAGTGCTGCGGCGCAAATAATCCGTCGCTTTGCCTTGCCAGCACTGTCATGGAAGCAAGAGAAGGGCAGGGCGCTTCTCAAAGGAGCTGTGGACAAAGGAAGGCTGGAAAGGAGCTTTTTGTTTGTGTAAGGATGAGGAGCCTTGCTTTAAAAGGCAGCCTTTTGTAAGGAGCCCTTATAAGGAGACGTCTATGAGGGAGGCTTGATAAGGAGCCTTGTAAGGAGCCTTTATCAGGAAACGTTCATTCAAAAGGCTTTATATAAACGCTTCATTATAAAGGCTGCTTACAAAGCTCCTTATAAAGCCTTCCAAGTAAACGTCTCCTGACCAACATTTTTCCTTATAAAGGCTAAGGAGCTTTGTAAGGAACCGGAAGAATCGAGAAGGAGCTTTGTAACGAGCCTTAAAAAAGGAGACGTTTAAAAGGCTTGATAAGGAGCCTTGTAAGGAGCCGCTTAAAGGACCTTTTTCGGAAGCCTCATAAAGAGCTTTGTAAGGAGCTCTTTTTTGGAGACGTGTCGTCGGGAGCCCCAGGACCAATGGCCACTTTATCAAGGTCAGCCTGGTGAGCTCCGAAACCGGGCTGGCCAGATTGTGAAAACTTTGAAAACTTTGGAAACTTTGGAAAAAACGTCGAAATCCAAAGTTTTCAAAATCCAGCCACCGAAAATGTTGAAAAAAACGCAGAAATCCAAAGTTTTCGAAATCCGGCCTTTTCAAAGTTTTCAAAAACCGGCCAGCCCGGGGCCCGGAGCTTGCCAGCCTTTACAAGGAGCACTTTTTAAGGAAGCCTTCAAAAGGAGCTTGTGTAAAAATGAGGAGCCTTGCAAGGAGCCTTTAAAAGGCAGCCTTTTGTAAGGAGCCCTAATAAGGAGACGTCTATGAGGGACTGCTTACAAAGCTCCTTATGAAGCCTTCCAAGTAAACGTCTCCTGACCAACATTTTTCCTTATAAAGGCTCCCCTTACACGGGCTTTGTAAGGAGCCTTTACCAGAAGGCTTGATAAGGAGCCTTGTAAGTTAAAGGACCCTCAGAATAAGCTTTGCAAGGAGCTCTTATAAGGAGACGATTTTAAGGCAGGCTAGACGGGACTGAGCAATGGCCACAGGTCAGCCCCAATGGCGAGCTCCGAAACCGGGCTGGCCAGATTGTGAAAACTTTGAAAACTTTGGAAACTTTGGAAAAAACGTCGAAATCCAAAGTTTTCAAAATCCGGCCACCGAAAACTTTGAAAACTTTGGAAAAAACGTCGAAATCCAAAGTTTTCAAAATCCGGCCACCGAAAACTTTGAAAACTTTGGAAAAAACGTCGAAATCCAAAGTTTTCAAAATCCGGCCACCGAAAATTTGGAAAACTTTGAAAACTTTGGATTTCGACGTTTTTTCCAAAGTTTCCAAAGTTTTCAAAGTTTTCAAAAATCGGCCAGCCCGGGCCCCGGAGCTTGCCAGCCTTTACAAGGAGCACTTTTTAAGGAAGCCTTTAAAAGGACCTTGTGTAAAAATGAGGAGCCTTGCAAGGAGCCTTTAAAAGGCAGCCTTTTGTAAGGAGCCCTTTTAAGGAGACGTCTATGAGGGAGGCTTGATAAGGAGCCTTGTAAGGAGCCTTTATCAGGAAACGTTCATTCAAAAGGCTTTATATAAACGCCTCATTATAAAGGCTGCTTACAAAGCTCCTTATAAAGCCTTCCAAGTAAACGTCTCCTGACCAACATTTTCCTTATAAAGGCTGAGGAGCTTTGTAAGGAACCGGAAGAATCGATAAGGAGC